ACCGACCAATTTATATCATAACGGGCCATCTACTTATCCCAACAGCTAGGTTAACGCTCGATTTATTCTCCGAAAAGTTGGTTAACAAATTTAGTTTAATGTATTGTGTTTGGATAGTCTACATTTTTTTACATTGGTAGACCTATGTCGGAGGCTCACTAGATATCAAATTGTCACTAAGTGACTTCGTAGTTTTTGAGATGCATTTCCAGCAGTGTTTTATTTCAAACTACAGAGAATATTTGGTGTGATTACTATTAAACAATAGCCTACACTCAAAAAAAAATTAAGGTAAATTTACCTTAAAAAATACCTTAAAACACCTTAACAATTAAGGTAAATTTGCACTACCTTTTTCCTGTTTAGTTAAATGCATTCCTAAATAATTTAAGTAAAATTAAGGTTAAGTTTAGGTAAATGACTTTAAGTCAGTTAAGGTAAATTTAACCCTAACAGTTTTTTAAGGTAGAGTTAAGGTAATGTTAGGGTAAATTTTACCTTAATTTTTTTTTACCTTAACTCATTTAGGGTAATTTTACCTTAACATTTTTTTGAGTGTATTTTCTGACCCAATCCCCCCAGTTTCAGTTTGAGGTCATTCCAGTTTTGTCATAAATGATTTAGTGGTAATTTTATTTATAAATTTTAGACGCTGTTTTCTTTAAATCTTCTCAAGCTATCGACGTTTTAACATACCTCCTTTGTTCAAAAACATTATCCTTGTTCGCTCATTTTCCCATGAAAAAATTTCTGAAAATTTCCGTCAAATATCAAGAGGCCAAACTTTGTATTTTAAGAATGGCACGCAAAAATCTCTATCAGGACACTATCTCCTGGGTTGACCAGCCTAGAAAAAAATTCCATATCTCCAGGACTTTTTATAAGATTTGTAGGCAATTCCCGATTTTGAAAATTTTTCGATTTTTCTTATCAGAAAAGTTCAAAGAATAGCAATTTTTTCCCAACTAAAAAAAATGCCAAAAACACTTTGATTAAATTTTTGTACTGCAATAACAGATAAAAATCGATTTTGGACAACTTCATTTTTTAAAGAATTTTCTGCATGTAAACGTTTTCAGTGATTATAAAAATGAATTTCAAAAAAAAATTCCGAAACAAAAAGTTTGAACTTTGTTTTCAATAATACTCCTAGATATACATAATTAGCGGTTGAAAAAAAATCAAGATCATTAAAAATCAATTTTGAAGAATCATGCCATATGGCTTTGTACGTGTTCTATGTGGGGTTAAGGTATAGATCGACAAAAAATCTCTAATTCAGCAAAATCAGCATCTTTTGGACTACGAGTTTCCGTTAGTGTACTCTGCACTAGCAGAGAACTTTGAAGCTGGTTTCAAGAAACTTTCAAGAAAAATGAACAAAAAATTTGAAATTGTTTTGCAAAATAGACACTATCTTACAACTTGTAAGAAAAAGTCCCTTTCTTGTAACACTCTTGAAGCATAATTTTGTAAGAATTTTCGAGATCCTTATAAGACATTTGGAAAAGTGTCAAGGAACACAATCAAACAAAAGTTTTTTGAAGATATGTCAACTTTGTAAGTTCAAAAAAATAAATTTGAAGTTCGTTTCTAGAAAATTAACCCAATTTGACAAAAACAGATTAGTCGATAACTTCTCTGTTTCACAGAGAAATCTGAAAAACTAATTACATTTTCGAAACTAATAGTCGATCACATCTTTCGTGACCTTTTAAGTTTTGCTGTTCAATAGTGGAGTTTGCTTGTTTTTAATAAAATAAATGAACTGAGCTGAAAACTAAATCAAAAATCAAACCGCAAAAAAAACTAGTTTTGAGCCTGAAGAAATGTCAAATTTAAAGAAAGTTTTTATCTATCCTCTTAGTTTAAGTGCAGAAGTTTAGCAATTAGTTTATATCTATGAGTTGTTTTCAAATTCACTTATTTCTGTAGCTTTCTATCAATTACTGCAGAACTTTCTCTGTCACTCATACAGTTTTCCGACTTATTCTTCCGAATTTCGAAAAAAAAGTTACGGAATATTTGAACTCGTGGTGATTTTTTTCCAGGATATTTTTAACTATTGAACTATCCATTTGTGACGAGATATTTGTTCCGGCTTCCGATGAAACTGACAAAATATTTGTGCTTGTGATATTTTTTTTTCTCTAGACCAATTTCCAATTTCTAACTTTAACAAGCCCTTTTTTCCAATTTTTTGACAAAAAAAAAGTTTTTTTTTCACCAAGTTTTAACAAAAATCGGAAGATTTGGTGCTTCGCCCTGATACGAGCAGACTCATTTTATTCAGTATATGATCAGATTTGCATTTTATTCAGCTTTTTTCTTTTAAATTTTTCTTAAACAGATTTTGATCTTTGTGTTTTGGACACTGCTAAATACAGTATCGTAAGAAGTCTTCGAAGATCTTTGAGGCTTTACCAAGATATCGAGCGCCTTATTTGATTGCTTTAATCAGACCCTTATTCCAATTTTTCAGCAATTGTTCACCTTCCATAACTACTCATTCTCATAACAAACATTTAAAAAAATTTGAATTGTTTTGAAAGATGTTAGCAATAAAGGCATGAAGCAAAAAAGGCACCAATAAAGCATAAGGCAGTAAGGTCTAGGTCGAAACATAAATCGCAAATCTCGACCCGGGCAGGCCAACAAGCAGGCACAGATATATTCTATTGACTTGAATGACTATGAGTGTGTTTATGAAAAAGGAAAAAACCACCAGCTTAAATGAATTTCAACTAGATTAGATTTTTGTAATAACTATCAAAATAACGTTTCTCTAAGTTACAGAAATATAACGATATTGTGTGTATAAAATGTACTTTGAACTTAACCACTGATTCATTTGGTTTCTAAAGTTCAAAGTGTGTACGACCGCAAAGTTGTTGTGAAATTCAATTCTGCTGAGACACTCCTGATCCTTTTTTCGAGCAGACGAATGATATTCAGATTAAAATTTTCCTGGATTTTATCTCCTTTTCTCTTTTCACACTTTAATGTCTTGTAATGATTCATATAAATTCCAGTTTTGTCAGCAATTCGAAGATCCGTTGGTTTATTTTTGGAGTCGAAAGAATATTGAGCATTGAAATGTTCTTTTTCCGATTTCGGAAGGTAACTGTCACAGCCGTGCAGATGCAAAAACACACATACATCTGTGTTGATGATTTGCTTTCCGGGATGGCGAGCTAAAAAGAGAATTAAAACAACGACAATCATTTACAAGCACCAGTCTTTAAAATGAAATATCCCGCATTGGAGTTCCATGAATTAAATTCTATTATAATTGTTCCGATTTTCGTTACGAAAGTAACGGAATATTTGTGCTCGGGGTGGGTTTTTTTTCTTCAGAAATGTTCAAAGAATAGCAATTTTTTCCCAACTAAAAAAAATGCCAAAAACACTTTGATTAAATTTTTGTACTGCAATAACAGATAAAAATCGATTTTGGACAACTTCATTTTTTAAAGAATTTTCTGCATGTAAACGTTTTCAGTGATTATAAAAATGAATTTCAAAAAAAAATTCCGAAACAAAAAGTTTGAACTTTGTTTTCAATAATACTCCTAGATATACATAATTAGCGGTTGAAAAAAAATCAAGATCATTAAAAATCAATTTTGAAGAATCATGCCATATGGCTTTGTACGTGTTCTATGTGGGGTTAAGGTATAGATCGACAAAAAATCTCTAATTCAGCAAAATCAGCATCTTTTGGACTACGAGTTTCCGTTAGTGTACTCTGCACTAGCAGAGAACTTTGAAGCTGGTTTCAAGAAACTTTCAAGAAAAATGAACAAAAAATTTGAAATTGTTTTGCAAAATAGACACTATCTTACAACTTGTAAGAAAAAGTCCCTTTCTTGTAACACTCTTGAAGCATAATTTTGTAAGAATTTTCGAGATCCTTATAAGACATTTGGAAAAGTGTCAAGGAACACAATCAAACAAAAGTTTTTTGAAGATATGTCAACTTTGTAAGTTCAAAAAAATAAATTTGAAGTTCGTTTCTAGAAAATTAACCCAATTTGACAAAAACAGATTAGTCGATAACTTCTCTGTTTCACAGAGAAATCTGAAAAACTAATTCCATTTTCGAAACTAATAGTCGATCACATCTTTCGTGACCTTTTAAGTTTTGCTGTTCAATAGTGGAGTTTGCTTGTTTTTAATAAAATAAATGAACTGAGCTGAAAACTAAATCAAAAATCAAACCGCAAAAAAAACTAGTTTTGAGCCTGAAGAAATGTCAAATTTAAAGAAAGTTTTTATCTATCCTCTTAGTTTAAGTGCAGAAGTTTAGCAATTAGTTTATATCTATGAGTTGTTTTCAAATTCACTTATTTCTGTAGCTTTCTATCAATTACTGCAGAACTTTCTCTGTCACTCATACAGTTTTCCGACTTATTCTTCCGAATTTCGAAAAAAAAGTTACGGAATATTTGAACTCGTGGTGATTTTTTTCCAGGATATTTTTAACTATTGAACTATCCATTTGTGACGAGATATTTGTTCCGGCTTCCGATGAAACTGACAAAATATTTGTGCTTGTGATATTTTTTTTTCTCTAGACCAATTTCCAATTTCTAACTTTAACAAGCCCTTTTTTCCAATTTTTTGACAAAAAAAAAGTTTTTTTTTCACCAAGTTTTAACAAAAATCGGAAGATTTGGTGCTTCGCCCTGATACGAGCAGACTCATTTTATTCAGTATATGATCAGATTTGCATTTTATTCAGCTTTTTTCTTTTAAATTTTTCTTAAACAGATTTTGATCTTTGTGTTTTGGACACTGCTAAATACAGTATCGTAAGAAGTCTTCGAAGATGATCTTTGAGGCTTTACCAAGATATCGAGCGCCTTATTTGATTGCTTTAATCAGACCCTTATTCCAATTTTTCAGCAATTGTTCACCTTCCATAACTACTCATTCTCATAACAAACATTTAAAAAAATTTGAATTGTTTTGAAAGATGTTAGCAATAAAGGCATGAAGCAAAAAAGGCACCAATAAAGCATAAGGCAGTAAGGTCTAGGTCGAAACATAAATCGCAAATCTCGACCCGGGCAGGCCAACAAGCAGGCACAGATATATTCTATTGACTTGAATGACTATGAGTGTGTTTATGAAAAAGGAAAAAACCACCAGCTTAAATGAATTTCAACTAGATTAGATTTTTGTAATAACTATCAAAATAACGTTTCTCTAAGTTACAGAAATATAACGATATTGTGTGTATAAAATGTACTTTGAACTTAACCACTGATTCATTTGGTTTCTAAAGTTCAAAGTGTGTACGACCGCAAAGTTGTTGTGAAATTCAATTCTGCTGAGACACTCCTGATCCTTTTTTCGAGCAGACGAATGATATTCAGATTAAAATTTTCCTGGATTTTATCTCCTTTTCTCTTTTCACACTTTAATGTCTTGTAATGATTCATATAAATTCCAGTTTTGTCAGCAATTCGAAGATCCGTTGGTTTATTTTTGGAGTCGAAAGAATATTGAGCATTGAAATGTTCTTTTTCCGATTTCGGAAGGTAACTGTCACAGCCGTGCAGATGCAAAAACACACATACATCTGTGTTGATGATTTGCTTTCCGGGATGGCGAGCTAAAAAGAGAATTAAAACAACGACAATCATTTACAAGCACCAGTCTTTAAAATGAAATATCCCGCATTGGAGTTCCATGAATTAAATTCTATTATAATTGTTCCGACTTTCGTTACGAAAGTAACGGAATATTTGTGCTCGGGGTGGGTTTTTTTTTCTTCAGACAAATTTCGACTTTTTAACTAGCCATTTTTGACGGAGTTTTTTTTATATCATTCAAAAGGTATTGTTGTCCTGAGCTCAAATTTGAAAAGATATTTCACCTGTGATCATTTTTCGTAAAGTTATGGGGGTTTAAAGATTGCCATTTTGGCCAATTTGGGACAATTAACGCGCGATATATTTCGCGCTATCAACGCGTAAGCGGAGAGTTAATCCGTCTTAAAATCGTTCCAAAATGGTTGAAAGAAGCTTATTTGCCATAATTGAATTGTTACAAGGAGCTAAATCTATCTTTTTGTACTTTAAATGGCGTGTGGGGGGATGATTTTCATAAAAAAATTCAAATTAAAAAAAAATTTTTTTTTATTTTATTACATTTAATTTTTAATGATATTACTGCTCCATAAAACCTTAAAAGGCAGTCGGAACACTCAGGGCTTCGCCCTGTTACGAGCAGTCTTGTTCAGTTTTCTTGTCAGTGTCCACAAAAATGAAAACAAATCGATTATAATCAATTAAAAATGGTTTATAATTTTACTATTTTTCGAGGCAACAAACTCCTTTTTTCATCCATTATAATCGATTTATTTTCACTTTTGTGGACACTGACAATAAAACTAAATCAAAATCAAATTTTTTCCACTTTACTGAGATGCGAATTTCAACGCACATAAAATCTTTTGTACGTTTTGAACTGAAGTTGGTCTTGTTGGTTACTTGTTGTTCTGATATTTTTGATATTTTTGTAACTTTTTTTATATTACTCAACATTAATCCCCCTAGCGGCGTTTCAGGTGGGGGGTATGTGGTTTCAGGTGGGGGGTGTATGTGGGTTCAGGTGGGTGAGGGGGGTGGGTTCAGATGGGGGTGTTCAGGTGAGGGGGAGCAAAGGGGCAAACGTTAGGGAATTGAAGGGGAGCAAAGGGCAAACGTTGGGGGGGACGGGGAGAGCTTAATGGAGTTTTTTTTGCAATTTGAGTTTAGGTTTAGAAATGGATTAGGCCGTACACTCGCTTTGCTTTGCAAAGTTTCCGCGTCACTCACTTGATAAATGCTGAAATTCTTCCAAAATTTTGCACGACGCGCGAAACAAGACAAAAGTGGAAAAAAATCCATTTTAATGTGATTTCATACTTATTAAAAAATCCATTATAATGGATTCAAAATGAATTATAATGCATTTTGTTTTGGCGAGAAAAAATGGACTTAAATCCATTTTTAGTCCAATTTTTTTGTCCGAACGTAACATGGGAATCGATTATATTTACAACACTTAGACCACAAAAATCCATTATAATCGATTTGTTATCACTTTTCTTAAATGCGGGATAGTTTTATCGGTTACTTGGATGTTTAATCATGCATTTTTGCGACGGTGTTTATCGCCTGATCAACCACTGGTGGCTAGATACCAAAGTTTTGATGTTAGGAATTAACTGAGATGGAAAACAAGCCCGCAAAAATGTTCCATATAAAAAATCCATTACAATGAACGTTTATGGTCTGTTTTCATAAAACTCGAAACTAATCGATTATAATGGTTTCGTAATCAGTTATTAATTCCCACAAAAAAGTAATCAATTTAACCTTTATAATCAATTATGATGGATTGCGATGAATTATATTCGAGTGTAAAGGAATAACAGATAATAACATTTGAAGCAGGAGCCTGGAATTTTCGATACATTCGATATATTCAAAACCAGAGCGTTGCAAACTCTTTAGGTGGAAATTTACATTTGACTGCAGCAAAAAGTTGCTTTTGTTTCGGATTCTATTGTCTTTTTCTGCTTGTCCTCTAACCCCATCTAAAACTTGGCAAAAAAGGGTTTTTATTGTGATGATTTGGAAGAAATTTGGAAGAAAAGTTAAAAACATTGGTCCCAAAGTGCAATTATAATTGATTACAATATTATATCAAAGTGAGTCAAATTTGTTTCAAATTAAGTCTTAATGATAGTCAAGTTAAGCCAAAATTGGAAAACTTTACAATTCTTACGGATTTTTTTCAATATTTTTTTGTTAGTTGTACTTTTTTCCTCTGTAATGGAGAAACCAAATGTAAAGGGCGGCAAAAAAAATTAACCAAAACTAACGCTTAGTATATGCATATCTGGTATTGAGAATAGCAAAATGTTCATCGACGGTCCCGTTTTGCCAGGAGGTGTCCAGCTTCAATTGTTTCGTACACACTGGGGACACAATCATTCGTCTGTCTCTGAGTTGGAAACTTTTCTGAGCTCCTGCATAGAACAACACCTTGATGACAAGCTATGAAATGAAATTGATTGGCAACTAAAATAAATTGAATTCGTCTATGAGACGGAGCACAAATGCATAAACGGGGTTGTAGCGAACTGCATGCGTGCCGCTTGGCAAGCGCAATTAAAACAAGTACTCTGTCTGTTGCGGCATGCATCCGTAAGGTTTTTAGTCGCAAAACGAAATCACTTCTAATTGCGTTAATAGCCGCATGCTAAAGGGTACGCATGCTAGTAGGCCGATTCCCAGGTTAAACAAGGATAGCCGAATGCTATCCAAGAAGCACCGAATTTCTCGGCGACAACATTCAGAAAAAACAACAAAAAAACTGGACGTGTTGTGATGAGCGAACTATATAAACGCTTAGAAAGTTAATGAAATAGGCATAATTGAGGACAGCGGCTGTTTTAAAAAAACCCAAATAACAAACAAAAAATGAAGAAAAAAAATCATCTGAAATTTACAAAAAAAATTCGCAAAATAATTTTTTTTCTACATTTTCGATAGTGACAATCAAGTGATGAAATTTCTAGACGCACGAAAAATGGCCTTGTGTCGCCTTAAAAGAGCTTCCCTGAACAAAATAATACCGTCTGGAATGTGGGGAGATGATACAAATGAACTAACAGTCGTCTCGAGGATAGTCGATTTATATCATCTCCCTTTTGTTATGGAAAGCTCTTTCAATGCCATTTTTCTGCGTCTAGAACTTTCACGCATTGGTTGTCATTATTGAAAATGCAAAAAAAAAGCATCTTGCGAAAAAATTTTTCAATTTCAGATTTATTTTTTTCTTTTTTTCCTTGTTATTCCATTTTTAAGACAGCTGCTGTCTTCGAAAATGCCATTTTTCATTTTATTTCTAAGCGTTTATATAGTTCTCTCATCACACCACTCACAAAGTTTTGTTTGTAGTTTTTTCTGAATGTGGTCGTCGGGACATTCTGTGCTTTTTGGAAAGCGTACGTCTATCCTTGTTTAACATGGGGATCGGCCTGCTAGCATGCATACCGCTTAGCATGCGGATATTAGCGCAAGGTGAAGTGAGTTCATTTAGCGACTAAAACTCATACTCATACGCATGAATTGAGTGTCTCTTAAGATAAATTTGGAAAGAACAAAATGTTTTTTTTTCGGATATGAACGAAATCAGCAAAAGGTTATATTTACCGCTTCTCATAAAAATCTAACTTTTTTCTGACATGTAAAAACCTGTTACAAACGTTTCGCCTTACTTAAAACTTTTTAAAAAAGACACACGTGTCCAGCAGTTCTCTAGAACGGAAAAAACCTCATCGACTACACAATTTCATCAGTTAAAATATTTAAAGGAAACCGCAGATTTGTTTTTTTTTCTAGATTGTAGAACTGAATAAAAATTGATTAACTGAGTCAAAGTAGAAATGTAAAAATTGAGTCAAATTGCCGATAGATCGAAAAAAAATACTGATAATTTTTAAAAAAAACTATCCCAAGACGTAAGCATTGGATTCAAAGATATACTTATTTTCCGATGTAAGTCTATACAAATTCACATTCGAGAATAAAAACCAATAGTAATTTTTGATTCATTCCCAGCCATCTCCAATTGTTATGAAATCCCGCAACGAAGTGTACATATCATGATTACGAGTAACAATCTTATCGGGGTTTCCCTCTTTACTGTGTAACTATTAGTAAATCAGTGACTAAGCAAGATTGTGAAAAATAAATTGATGATTGCATCAAAAGATGGAATAAAGTCTATATAACACAGGTAGCCCCTAGGCCCCCTGTAGACAAGGTAGTGAAAAGTGAGGTTTAGAAGAAACCCCACCAACCAACCAAAAAAAGACAAGGCAAACGTCCCCAGTGCGATACCTTACTTTCCTTCTCCCATATGGTTTCGTCATTTAGTGCTTCTGACACCAAACTCTAAAGACCAATCACAACATCTGCAAACAAGTTGTAAAAAAGAGGTGAAAATTTTTCAATCGTTCTACACTAAAATTGCTTTTCTATAACACAATACACTCTCAAAAATTAACTACCAAACCATTCGGGTACGAGTTATGTGCAAACATTTTTGTTATTATGCATGTAAGAACTATGCGCAATAATTTTGCTAAACTTTCGTGCAAAATCGTTAACATCTCAGTCCCCCTGTTATAGCTTATTGTGCATTAGTTTGGATTTCGTGCAAAACATTTAGTGCGGAACTCAAATTGCCAAGTTACAAAATTTATTTCTCTACTTTAGTTTTGTTCATTCATTTTTGCCTCTTTGTTTCAACTTATTGATCTTACTTTTTTGTGGAACTTTATGAAAGTTTTGTCCCCTGTAATTGTTTGTGTCAGACTTTAAGCACGCTTCATTGTTCTTAACTTTTAGAGAACCTTTACTAAGTTCAACAACCCATTTTATTGTTAGGAGGCTTCTTTAAGACAGCCATGAACTCCGTAACTATTTCATATTAGCCCGCCGACCAAATATTGAAAAAAATGGAGCAAAAAGCTTAACTTCTGTGCTTACAGATTTCTGTTCTTCTATGTTCTTTTGCGCCCAAATTTTTCTGATTAACATTTTTTTTGCATAGTTTAAACACTGTCCCTCCCTCTTAAATAAACATAAACTTGAAAACCCACTTCAATGGTGAAATTAAAACGTACAAAAAACCCAGGTCGAAGAAATACACACATATAACTTTTTTTTGTCAATCGCATTCGGTGAAACAAGCCTTAAGTTCTTTATCTGCGAGCCTCTGATGTGTCTAGGAGCTAGTTTTCTATAACACCTTCGCCAGTTCCTACCACAGTGACAACAACCGAATCCTTGCAATTCCCATCTGTGTTTAAATAACAACAAGATCAAGAATTCAGTATCTTCTCAAAGAAAAGCTCCAAGAAAAACAGCTGATAAAGTTATTTGTCACGATTTCATCAAAAGCTCCCTAACGAAAAATCGCAGCAGTTTCTTCAAAAAAAAACGGCAGCAGAAACTGTCGCAACGCGGAAATGGTTTGCACAAAAAAAGAAGTGGTGAAGGCAACAAAGACGGATCCCCGGATACTTTCAGGGTTTTGAAGAGAGACAAAAAACCTTAAAAGATACCAAATATGCATAAAATCAACGATCTGTTTCTGAAAAAAAGAAAAAAAAACCCTGCAATCGTCAAGCAGTATCGTGATTTTAAACAAATTTCAACTCTAGTACTCACAATATCCAGAGCATTTTCCAATAAACTTGATGTTCTGAGCAGACCAGTTTGGAGCAAAAAAAATCTAAATAATTTTCCTAGAAACAAAAAAAAACAACAGATTTCTGTTCTTCTATGTTCTTTTGCGCCCAAATTTTTCTGATTAACATTTTTTTTGCATAGTTTAAACACTGTCCCTCCCTCTTAAATAAACATAAACTTGAAAACCCACTTCAATGGTGAAATTAAAACGTACAAAAAACCCAGGTCGAAGAAATACACACATATAACTTTTTTTTGTCGATCGCATTCGGTGAAACAAGCCTTAAGTTCTTTATCTGCGAGCCTCTGATGTGTCTAGGAGCTAGTTTTCTATAACACCTTCGCCAGTTCCTACCACAGTGACAACAACCGAATCCTTGCAATTCCCATCTGTGTTTAAATAACAACAAGATCAAGAATTCAGTATCTTCTCAAAGAAAAGCTCCAAGAAAAACAGCTGATAAAGTTATTTGTCACGATTTCATCAAAAGCTCCCTAACGAAAAATCGCAGCAGTTTCTTCCAAAAAAACGGCAGCAGAAACTGTCGCAACGCGGAAATGGTTTGCACAAAAAAAGAAGTGGTGAAGGCAACAAAGACGGATCCCCGGATACTTTCAGGGTTTTGAAGAGAGACAAAAAACCTTAAAAGATACCAAATATGCATAAAATCAACGATCTGTTTCTGAAAAAAAAAGAAAAAAAAACCCTGCAATCGTCAAGCAGTATCGTGATTTTAAACAAAATTCAACTCTAGTACTCACAATATCCAGAGCATTTTCCAATAAACTTGATGTTCTGAGCAGACCAGTTTGGAGCAAAAAAAATTCTAAATAATTTTCCTAGAAACAAAAAAAAACAATCAGAAACAAAACTGAAGAATTTTTGGCTAGTACATACTATTATGGTTGTGCAGAAGGCTCAAAGTTGATTAATTAGAAACTTGCTTGAAGTAATAGGGCGCCTGGAATCCAAATTCTCCTTTGCAATAACAGAAAGAGTTAATACATTTTACTTCTTCGTCCCTATTACATCATCTTTTGTAGCCTTCCCAGCCCTTCCATCATCCTTCAACAAAACGCCTTCCAGCGCTTTCTCGGATGACTCTAATTTTTCAAAGCTATTCAGAAACTGCTCTATGTGAAATTTTGTACTCCATTTCCCCGAAGCAAAATGAACAATTTAGGTGGTGAAAGCAACTGTTTAATAATACAGTTAATTTCCTAGACCTCAGAATCAAAAGTCACTTCAAGATATTGAGCAAATAATAAAAAAGAAAACTACGAACTAGAACGTGGAGCTCAAATCGACAAACACTTCAGAAAACTTTTCACTCAAGTGGAAAAAATCATCAAGGAGAACTCTCAAATGAAACATTTTCATTGACGAACTGTTAGTGGACCCTGTCAAAAAGCAGACATTTTTTGCATTTTTGTCAAAAACGTTGAACAACACAAGATTTCTCATGGAGAAGAAACATCTATCTACCAAACAATAGACGCTGAACCACCTAAAACAGATGAGTAGCTTCATTTGTTGCACCCAATACCACTTTGAAAAACTACTTCTCATCTAACCATTTTTCAAACCCGATGCACAAAAGGCAAGGCAAGGACTCAGATCCTTCAACGAACGATAAGGTAACTTCACCATTTCTTTTTTGCCGTTATATAAGCAATTTTCTTGATGCTGGGCTCGAATACGAAAAAACCAAATCATAACGGGCTTCAATTCAAACAGTTGTCCTATTAACTCGACCTTGATTGT